AAAAAAAAAACAATTGGGGGCTCGATACCTACAGATATAATGCTCTGATGACAAAGACAAAACGGACAGAACAGGGCAACATAAGCGAATTGAGCCGAACCGCGTTTAGAGGATACCGATGACTCCACAGGCGACACGTGCTCCGGCGTTACCAGTCGTTTTACTGAGTTCAGAAGTTCCTCGTCCAAGATCGTCCATATCAGCATGGATGACGATCGCTCTACCGATGACATTATGCTGACCAGTTAATGAGATCACCGAATCCGAGATCAGAATCGGAGTATCGCCTGTTTTCTGAAAGAACGCGGACATTAGAGACTGTCAGGGCTGTGAGTAGGAAATGAAAAAAAAAGATTTGCTCTGACTGGGTTGGTGCCCATAACTGTTTTGCTTCATATGAAAATACGTCCTCCCTCTACTTTGCCATTGGATGAGAGTCACTCACATGAGCCCTAATTCTGGGTGATGCACACACGATTTTCAACTATTGGTAATAATTATATATCAAGTAGTAAAATATAAAAAACGAGGGAAGTGTCAAAGTTCGTAAGATGGAATGAATGGCGATGACTATTGCTATGGTCAAAGAAACATACACACAACTCCCATTCAGAATCGCCATTTCAAGCAAGCGGTTAGGCTCATTCAGGAAAGGGACGCACCCACTTAACTGATCTCGGAGAAATGGAAGGTTCACCTTATTTAGAAAGGAACCGATCACGGATCATTCATGTCATATCAGCGCGGCCAGTTACTAACCCATCTTCTACCGGTAATGGCAGACGTAAGAGCCGCAAGCGGTGAGTTAAAAGCACCAGAAAGACCAGAAAAAGACAGGGCAGTGACAAAAAGCGCTATTTGGCGGTTGTACTGGTAATGTGACCGCATCCAGATCTCTAGACAACGTCAATCAGGTTTTGTATTTTCTCGGATAAGACTAGAGGGTTAGCAAAGATTGTAAGGGGGAGGAGGGGGGCTCAGGAGCTACCACAGTTACATAATTTCAGCCTGAACCCACTCTCTCCCTCTCAACTCCAATTTTCAGATAACCCACGATCACAGCGGACAGTGAACGGTGGCTATCTCACAACAGACCACCGTTTATCTTATCTCTTTCCATTCCAGGGAACTCACTACTTCTACAATTCTTTTACAACTGTTTCAATACTGTTTATTTCGATCTTGGAGGTTGTTCGAGAATTGGTCAACCACCACTAACGTCACAATATCACCGCTTGCTGAGCAATCTGCCGATGTGATCATTTTGTCCTTGACGCACATCAATTACTTCGGCACATTTCGATAAAAACTTTCTAGTATAAACTGGTATTCAAAGGATTTGAAAAGAGTTGAAGTCGTGGAAAAAGGAAAAAACCGGTTTAGAGAGAAAAAATTGAGGAGATAGACTTCTTTACTCACGAAACGTATCGAGAACAGGAATGGCCTTTGTGATGGCCACTGACACCTAGCGATCAGTGGAATGTATAAAAGCGGGTATGAATGTTAGACCAAGGATTCACGGAGGAAATCCGAAGGCCGCATGAAAGCATCAAGAAGAAGCGAAATCAATCAATTCCCGTCGGTCGAGCCATGAACTCGGGCACCATTGTCAACCACAGAAGTACGTGGGAGGCATGTCGGCCTACTCAACCGTTTCCGTACAAATACCCAGAGCCAGAACAAGCATAGGACACCTTACCGAATAGGACTGGAAACATGGTCACGTGGACTAACTAAGATCGCGAAGGGCAAAACCTCCACTTTCACACGCTTCAGACTACGAAAACCGGGAGTTACAGTATTTATTCATTGTTCCTATAATAATTAAGCAGCGGCGGTGTAGTGGCAAGCTGCGCGCACTACTGCGTGCGTGGTCTGGCCGATCGGACCCTTATTTATCATTTTATTTTATTTTTTCCTTTCGGCAATTTGCGAGAGATCTTTTCGTTGCTGACCGATCAATCAGGACAGGGCTTGTTGATCTTGCACCTGTTCTGGTCTGCAAAGTAGAGTGTGGTGCTATGTAGGCTGCATCCCAGGCTTGTCGAATCCCGTCATTCATCATGGCGTTGATCTTGATGGATTCCAAATAGCCATCCAAACATCTTAATGAATTCCAGTGGCGCCTCAAACGACTTCGACAACGTCGTACGTCAAACAAGCGTCAAAATGAGCCATTCACTTCCACAAAATGGATTGGGAGATCGCTTGGACCATACATCGACTTGACTACAGCCCATTTGAAGATCTCTGACTCATAGATAGCTTCACGCAAACGATGGAATCTTTCGCTGTGGACGAAGTACCGATTTCGAACCCTTTCGACATCATCCTTGAAAATGACTTCAGATCCGAAGTAACTCGTTTCCTGTACTTCTCTTTGCAAAGCGAGAAAGTACTAGAACCAAAGGCTAAAGGGCGGAAATAGTGCAAATAAAAACGACTAAGACACTGCTGCACCAAAGAACGATGGTTTCATGTTCATTTTACGACTTCAACTGCCCTTGTGTAATTAATTCATACTTGGAAATCACGCAGAACAAATGGAAGGGGCTTGAGTATCTAATTGAATTACGAAAGGCATTTTACAATCGTTTCTTTTCTCTGATCGACAACGCCGCAGAAGAAAACTCCATCCAAAGAATCGTATTTCGTAAGCAACGTTGTAAAGACTGTCTAAGGTTTTTT